TGAACTGCGAAGTGCAAATTCTGACAGATGACAGCATAAAATTGACGACGTTTCAACTTCAAGAAACCTGCACATTCCGAGAGATTCCGTGATTATCTATCACTCAGCTGATCCACTCAGAGCAAATCGACGGTTAATACAAGTTCTTGCAGACAGAATGCTCAGACTTTCAACAACAGTAGATAACCGAAGAGAAGAAATAGTTGTCTAACTGAAAGTGCTACTCGGAAGCAACAACTCAAAATAATTTATCCGAGATACCATGAAGATGCAAAGAAGGAGGTTGAGAACAGATAATGACAAGAAGGAAGATGGTGAAAACACGGCGACAATACCATACGAAATGGGTTTATCAGAGTCGGTGTTGGACGAATCCTGAGAATATTGGGATTCATACCACGTTTAACCTAATGAATCCAACTAACCAGAAACCAAATAAGTCAACTAAATGTTCCAAAAGAAATGATGGAATAAATTAGCAGTGTAATTTACAAAATGATATCGTGTTCGGATTAGACGTCTAGATCATCGTTGAATTTAAGAGCGAATGGACATATACGACTGACTGAGTGTTATCCAACAAGGAAACAAGTGTACAATAATTCAGAAGAAAATTCGTCCACAGCTGCACATGCAGAGAACGAAATCCACAACAATGATTGTGACGAGATTTGCATTCTGGAATCTAATATGAACAAGTGAATAGAGAGACTAATAACGACGGAGTCTGTATTACTCAGTGACGTCACGCTGGATACATGTGACAAGGCTGAATCGGCAGCACGACTGTCAGCGACCTGGAATATAATTCACGATACAGAAAACTTAGTGGACCGAATCTGAACTAAGCACACACAAATGACTACAAATCACAAATGTGTGAATTGAAAGCAAATATCAAAACAACAACTCATCATTGTGTGTAAACTATCGACATACAACTACAATCAATTTGGTCTAATCCATAGTGCGCAGACGTTTAACTGACATGAAATAATATCACTTCACCAGCCGACACCCCGTTGAGGAAATCGGCACGTATCGAAGTCAAGAAGGTGCTTTCAAGTGTCAAACAGTTGTTTTCTCAATATCTTCTAAAGAATGTTGTGCGAAATTCGTTTCAATGTATTTCATACTGTACCTTCTGCGTAACTACACACAACAATTCTTTTGACAGAATACTTATTCCTTCTGAGAAATTCATCAACAGGTAAGCACATGTGCATTGAAATAATTTCACTTACCTGACTTCATAATCCCTGGAAGTGGAATTAGAGGAACCAGCACCACTGTGTTCACTTGCTTTTCCCCAACGTTTTCATGGACTTACTGTGTATCACGAATGCATTCTATCAATGAACACTAAGATTTAATTCTTGATTCGCCCATCAGTTAGTCAGTTGATTCGATATTATTCAGAATGTTTCGTGACTGCCTAACTACAGAAACACAGAGTTGCATCCACTTGAGAAGGTATTTGTCGGTGAAACTGTGCACTGAACTTCAGTCAATCATTGCGACAGAGATGAAGACGCATTCGCGAATAGTCCCTATCCAGACATTAGCGGAAATAAAAACAAGCACGTTGTTCAGGGAACAGTCTCCTTTCGGAGACGAATTGACTCACTTAGCCCTACAGTGGAATTATTATCACATAACTAGATAACGCATGTGCCGATATATTTGTGCATGCATCAGCTCAAATGTCACTGCAAATCACCTTCCGGCGGTTTCTCAACGTCACTAAAATCTTCATGACAAAAACGCAATAATACTTCCACTTCCTTTACAGATGAATGGAATGAACTGAATAGAATCGTATTTGAATGTGAGTGATTTGAAGTCTGGTTTAGAAATTTTCATCTAGTTATCTTCCTGATGTTCTATGATGACATTTCTGACTTTCGATGCTGCGCTTGTGTGGGTAATTGTATTTATTTCAGTGAAGAATTCGCCACGAACCTGATCAGTGGATGAGTCACTGAATGAAAATATCAAGAGGCAAATGATGGATTTCTCCTGATTTGAGACCCGCCTCAGACGACTGCAACAACAGCAACAATATCATCAATTGCACCAAGGATGGGACACGCCTCGTCCGCGATGCTGCCACTTAGGCCGAATTCAGCAACCTCTTGAATTCGAAAATTCTTACTCATGGATGCGAGACTGTCAGCAATCAATGCCATAGATGAGCATGCAGATTTCTGATGTCGCTGGCGTTCACTGATTCAGTCTGAAAAATTGGTGTTGTTGCTTTTAAACAGCACTTCAGAGATAATAAGCAATGACATTGTCATCTCACGGTGAAATACAATTCGTTCACGAAACGGGATATGGCAGATTTTCCAGATATCTCCTTGATTCCATTAAAGTAATCAACGCCTTCATCTAAGTCAATGTGCTATTTGTTTATTTTATTTCCACAGATATTCGAAAGAATAAGGCTTATGTTCCAAAAGGTAAGCAAGAAGCAACCGAATTCATTATCTACTCGCTCGAGTAGTGAAAGTGTCTCGATTACACTATCTACCATCTCAGTATTCAAGGATACCAATTCATTGAGACGACAACACACAAGGCGGAAATAGAAAGTGGAATACAGCTGAGCTGTAAGACATGTAATACTTCGGTTGGACACAGACTGATGTCATGCCAGTTATCCTTGGCGTTTTCTGCAGACTGAATTCTATCAGTCAAGTTTGCAATGTGGCCACCAACAAGCTGGGTGAATCTCCAGCACGTTGTACTCAGAATTCTTGTTATCAGATGGTTGTAGGCAATTGACAGGAGGCCCTTCTTGGCTGAGGGTTTCTTGCTTGCTGGCTGACACTAGTCAGCAATGCAGTCCTGTAGGATGTCATTCACGGTTTCGAATAGCTGACTGGCTCAGTGTCGACGTCTCTGACTGCAGGAGACATGAGATCCTTGAGGATCGTAGATGCACCTTGTTGACTGGTGATTGCCAACAAGTAGGAGACCTAGGTGAGTCAGGGCTTCCTTCAGATGAATCCATCAAAATATTTAATAATAAGAAATGTAATGGCAGACGGTTAATTCTGATTGGCGTTTGAATGAGGCGAACTATGGATAGTCAAATGTTCTTTCAGACAAATAACTCACGAACACGCTTCGAATTTAACCACACGAATGTAGTTTACAGGGATGAGAATCAGTCGACACTAAGAAAGATTCAATTTGTGTTTGTTGAATCATAGGCTATACAGTTTCGTAAGGTGCTATCGTTCGGATAGGCAGAGACGTGTCTATCAGTTATTTGGAATGCTCGACACTTCAGTTTATGTAGTCATGAAAGAAGTTTACTGAGGCAGGCTGGTTGAAAGTAAAGGAAATATCGCAGTTTTACACGGTCTTCGCAATCAATGCTGACTGCTTCGATCAAATCTGTGAAGAATCATGCCTGTGAGTGCAACCGATGCCATCTGTCCTAGGTTCGTTCTCACTTATGTGAAACATTTCACGTCCCACGGCGATCAGATGTGATGTGCCATGATTGATTGACTGATCTCATCAAAACTCACACGTATCAGCCAAAATTTATATTTCAAAATATCATGCTATCATTTCATTCTACGTAACGTAAATTTCATGTCACCGCTTTCAATGGCCTCTGCCAAACACGTGACAGCTCCTCTCCAATTGCTTTCATTCTTTTCAGATGATCCGAATGCAAGAGAAAAACTTGCCAAAGCAGGTTTGTACACGTGGATTTTCTCCTTCTTCTTCTCCTTGTTCTGCTGCGTCAATGTTCATTATATCCTCCTGAATCTGTATTGTCTGTTAACATAACATGATCCACTTGTCAGTTCATCCACCAGTAGTTCATCGCCCAAACTGAGGATAACCCAGTCAGACTACTTATGTTAACTCAACACATTTCGATGGAGAGTGTGTTTGTGCCAGCGATTCACTGACAGTGTACACCTTCCCAGAGTCTCCACTTGTCAAATAGCCACGGGTTTTACATGGAATTAAGATCCAAATAACATAGATACGGAAGCATGCGATTCGGCCAGCTTTCTGTGTCAATGGAATGGAGAAGCAGATTTTCTGAAGGCTCTTTTACAAGGTAAAGATTCATTTGACGCTACACATCAAGAGAGTGATTGAATCCAATAGATGAATGGAAGTTTGTGTTGGCGTAATTTGTGATCTGGATAGGTTGTTAGGAAGGAGTCGATTGTCTCGCCAGGTAGGACATTCAGAGTCGACTTCGCAGTTGAACCGTCCAGCTGACAGTGAACTCAAATACTGCAATGTCATTCACCGGAGCGCAGAATTCAAGCAACATTCTCATTTGTTTCCTGGATAACTTTCATGTTGTGTATGAAGTATTCATTTGCAGGGACAAGACTGGCAACACGACTGATCACGAGTCGAGGACCATTGAAAAATAAGCATGGCGGACTACACAGCTGTTTCATCAGCCTAGTTTTCGGCTCATCGTCACTACACACATGCTCGCGTTGGACACCAGAATAATGTGATTACGAGACGAGCTAATAGACATTTAAGCAACTATGATCGGCATCAAGGCTCATGAAAAACAGCTTCTGTCATTTCAGAATGCTTATTGAGCACAGGCGCCAGCCAGTGTGACCAGAGTGTAACTATCCTCTTGTCTGACGTGGTGTACATCACTGTCAAAACTGGTTGTTGCACCACATGCGTGTCACGAGATGACGTGCGTTGGAATTCATGGAGCATTGGGTCAGGTGCCACTGGATTAGTGGTCTTCCAGCTTGCTTCATAACCGGAATGTGCTGGCTTCACACCTCTGCAGTGGATGTGTACTGCTGAATAGTACAAAACAGGGCTGTTGATATATCTATCCGCAGTCATTGTTGGTTCTGCAGTGCCTGTCTAACTGATGTGAACTCAAATTCACTCCTGCAACTTTCACAATACTGTGAAAAATCCAATACCAAACATTCCTATTAATTACTGCTCAATTTGTCTCCTCTTATCAACTGATGCAGATTTCCTGAACAAATTTATGAACAGTGAGCATCAATGTTTTATTACGTGATTTGTGATAGTTTGCATCTTTGAATATGAATATGTGGCCTGTAGAAGAGAGGGTGTCCACACACATGTAGACACGCGATGCATGTCACGACAACGCCGGTCATCTGAACAAGTGTTCGATTGACCATTCAACACGTCATCAAAGATAACATCAGTACTGATACTCACTCAGCAACTTCCCACTGAACATCACTCACTGCAATCACTCAGCGCCATAACTCAGAGGAATCTTCTTTCTAATAAAAAAAACTTCGACTCAGAATGTTTGCTTGGTCATCTTTTCCTGATAGAAAAGAAACGCGGCAGCCTGAAGCAAACGTCAGCAGAATTCATCTCACACTATCAGATTGTATTGCTTGTTGTCGAGATGAAATGCTGTCAATAGAAGGCGTAGAAGCATTCAGTGATTCGTTTCCATTATCGGAGAGAAACACCATGTGTAGTGCAGAGACGTGACACTCAATGAGTTGACGAATGCATGAATGAATGAATGAATGAATGGATGATTGATTGAATCGAGGAATAATGCACCTTGATAGAAATTCGAAATATATGAGGTACATCAACCAGGTAGTTTGAAAAGCTTGAGGGTGACAAGAAGCGATAGGGAAATATCTCAACTGTGGTTGTTAGGATCTACTGTAACACTGTGGCGTGCATCAAATATTCATCAACCTCATTCAACAGCTAGTCATGTCACAGGGGTATATATCAAATGATCTACAACGGAAAACTTCGTGAGGCGTCTGAAGTGAAGACAGCAGTAGGCTATTGGTGCTTGCCCACCATCACGGGTGACATTGCTGATTGCATCGGAGTCGATTGAGCATCCGATTTCATGGAGTGAGAAGGCAGTGATATGCTAGACCACCGATAAGAAGACTCAAGAAGATGCGTACTTCGCGGATGATTCATGCTGAATGTGATGGTGAATCCAAAGACTTACAGGCGAATGTCGACAAACTGGCAGAAGAGAAAGGGAGGCATGGACAGGACTTTACCGGGACCAACAGGCACCAATCACCATCAGCCAGAGTAATTTGGCTGGATTTACTCGCTTCACTCATCATATAGGAGGCGTCACTCGAACTGCAGGCAGACAGAATGCATGAAGGTGTGAATAGGAATGGCAAGACAATCCTCCGTTACTCTGGAATCAGTTTGCGAATCTCCTGCACTCACCTGGCACAAGGAACAAGTTGCAGACCCTCAACACGAATGTGTAGTCTGTCAATTCTTCTACATGGATCAGACACTTTCAGCCTGAGTCACACAGACCATTTCCAATAGACTAAATGTGAACTTTCTCAACAGCTGTCCTCTTCACTGGCTCCGTTCCGAAGACTATACGGCCAGCCTGAACGAATTAGTAGCAAGAAACCGTGAGAGGAAACCCACAAGTGAGAACTTATTTCTCAACAAATATTTCAAAGTGGATGAAGATGGATCAGACACACTCTGGGAAGACTGTCGAATGACATCGTGTGGCAAGCCAAGACTCGTTTGGAACTGGGATTGGAAACGATGAGTGGAGAGTAATTCTTAGGAGTGACATGAAGCAGGAGCCGTGTGAGGAGGGGATTAGAGACTATTAAAAATTTTGTGACCGGATGAAGAGCAACAGAGAATATAGGACAGAATTCAGGTGTGCTGCTGAAGCCATTCGTTTCACTCGGAAGCCTAGAGAGCCATAGTAAACGCAATAATATAACAGCTTGCAAAGATAATGCTGTCTGCATTCAGGCACTCGACAGCACTAGGTGCGAAGAGAAATAAACAGACTTGAGGTTGAATCTAGTCTTCGCCAAGAGAAGCGTGTATCATCCAACTTCAAAGTGCGAAGAAACCGATCGAATTCAGACACTCTTCACTGTATTCAAGCAACCGAAGAGAAGGATTTGATATTATGATGTGGGATAGTCAAACCACCTATATGTGGCAAGACAGCTGATAGACTCGGTGGAAGGCGAAGCACCTAAATCAATGTCAAATATCCAGGCGAAATGGAACACGTGGGTCGGGGAAAAGACTTAGGACAATGCCGTGAAAATACTACATTATTGAGTGTAGGTTTGCAAATACTTGATTGGAACCATCACATTTACATATAGCTATTTCGTGTGTGAGTACATTAGCATTCTGAAACAAAAGTAGAGTTAAAGTTAGCTAGGTTTACTTTTCACGCCATCGAAATGTTTCTTAATTGTGACGAATAATGAGAATTGTAACTAGAGTGGTGACGATTGGTAATTGTTGACAAGGGTTTCGTAATGTGAAATAGGAAGTAAGTGGAGACATTTGTTCAAGAAATACATAATGTTATGAGTAAAAGGAGAAAATAAAGATTAGTGAAGAAGATGTTACTAAGATGCAATATGAAAAGGAAAACAAAACAAAGCCGTCGAACTTGGAATCATACCCATAGTGAAGGGAAAGTGTGGAGGCGTTTCTTCTGTGTGCATAAGTTAATGTTTTCTGTCCGAACCCCCTAAGCCTCAGCAATACAAAGTGTGCAGAAGCTTCATTTACACTTTCTACCCATGACATAATTTATTTTGTGAACATGTGTCTCCTTTAACATCCTACTTCATATTATGAAACCCCAGTCAACAATTACAAATCGTCACCACTCCAGTTACAATTCTCATTATTCGTCACAGTTAGGAAACATTTGGATGACGTGAACAGTAACCCCAACTAATTTTCACTATATTTTGGTTCGACAATCCTTATGTTCTCACACACAAAATGTTATATGTTAGTGCGATTGTACAGCCAAGGGAATGAATTCGTCGAAAAGAGACTCTACACTGAACTTCGTTGTTCTTATACTTCCAAGTAAGTCGAGAAATTAGTCACCTAAGTCTTCCTTATTAAAATAAATAATTTTGTCTGCATTTTCCCACTATCAGAATTCGGAGACGACTTGTCAGGCCTTGCAAGTGAGTGTGAATCATAATTTCTCTCATGATAGCTACCTTCAACCATGTGAATCAGTATGTTAACACCAATACTAAATCATTTCCTCATATTTGGCCAATAATTTCGTGGAAATAAAAAAACAAGGATCGCTTGCATCTTCCTCCTTTACTCCTTGTCAAAACAACTACCTTATTTTCCATGGTTTTGTGAAATTCCATAAGATACGAACAGCGCATATGCTTTCGCACAGTCGAAAACCACACTCACAATCATATTGTTGACTGGATAATGCCGCAGACGGTGTGTCCACAAATACAGAAATACGTTGTACCGATAAAAAGACGGTAGAAGATCTGGACTTCGTGGACGACTAACTTTTAGTGTTCTATGGACTCAAGGACTTCCAATTGTAAGCCAACAATTTGTAAGAAGAAGCAGGAAATACAGCACTTCCAGTGTAGATCCAGGTGGTGAAGGTAACTGAACAACAGGGAATTCTCTTCCGTTGCTTATTCAGGGCAGTGTCGCTTCAACTCTAGGCAGAACAAATGAGTATGTGAAGGGCAGGACCAAAAATGGGAGACAGATTTTCAGATTTCATTGTGAAATCAGTGTGGAAAGCCGCCGCACTCAGAATAAGGAAAACGATTCAGATTTCCAACACTGATATCCAATCAGCGCGTAATTCTGTTTGAGGGACTTAGCACGTGTACCAACATAAGCATGTGTAACCGAATTCAGAGATTTCTTGGCTGCTGCCTTTACTGGATACTGATGACATCATGGTTAGAAAGGGTGAGAAACATGAAAATCTGCCTACACAGTTTGATTGGAACGATGTGTGCGTTTTTGTGACAAATGACAATGGATGGGCAGTTCGATTCACCAGTCAGGAGCGTTTTCACAGTCGAAGAAGTGGACAACCAGAAATGAATATTTTGAGTCGTCTACAGATTCAGAAAATTTATTCAGCTCTACAGGCTCCATTGCGATCAACTCTTCACTGTTCATGGAAAGTGCAGTCTATATTCACATGCATTCTCCTCACAGGTTTGTGTAATCAAACGACATCTCACAAATCACTGCAAGACTATTCAAACCTTCACCAGTTGACGTCGTACATAAACTCAGCTCTTTGTCAGCCGAAAGACTCAACAGGCTAAGGAGATAAAATCAACCTCATCCACACAATAAATTTAAACAACCGCTAAAAACACTGCATTGACCAAAGTGGACGTCCCTTTCGTCTTCATATTCATGAACATAAACTAGTCGCTGCATACAGACAAACAAAGACATTAATTTGACTGAGACGAAGTTCAAATATTAGACAGACGAAACACCAAGAATGCTGCAGGATTATTAGGAGCCTGATTTTCCAGCGAATCGTCAATGAAATAACACAAACAATACGGAGGAAATATCACGCACAAAGGATGAAACTTCAGGTCAAGCAAACAATCAGTACAAATACAAGTAGCCTTGAGGGCGGTGAAAAACACACAAATCAACTAATCACATTGAAGGTGACCAGGAGAGGTGAGTGAAAATCTCATGGAGGAATCTGAAGCTCAATTGTAATTGAAGTACGCGTTGAAGATGTTGCTTCGTGTGGCAGTGAAAGCTTCGCAAATAAATCATCCAACTCAGATAACAAAACCACATCAAAATCATCAACCTGAGCTAGACATCCTCTACATCACATTTCCACACCTATAAATAAAATCTGTACCGTAAAGGAATCTCACTATTTACTATTCATGATTAATTTGTGTTCATGTTTGAATATTCGTGTATTGCTAACCCGATTTCGCACACTACAGGACATCCGAAAACAACAGAAACGCCGGTGGTGACTTGTAAGTTGAACTGCAAGTTTAACAACACCCTATTCCGACTAACAAATAAGCTTTCTACTCATGTGACACGCTCCTTGTAATTGTTGTCAGTGACCTGCCATCAACTTGAGCTTTCATTCATCCACGAACTTTCAGACTCCACTACAGGTGCAAGAAATCAATAGTGGATACGTGGGTTTCTGGTGAATCTACAACAAACGATCTGTTCATATGTAGCGACAGAAGGAGTTGTAGAATTCAATCTACATTCTGAGGTTTGAAATGTCACAATCAATACTGACAACGTGGATTGTGAGGCTTGCTCTCGTCTGTGAGTAAGTATTCTTTCTACTTGAAACACAGCCGAAGAATGTGAGATCATCATAATGATAATGACACCTGTCCCCCGTAGAAAAGCTTTGCACGATATGCAGAGTACACGGCATATTTTATTGTACTACAGGTTTTCTCCATTCATTGGTCTTCCATATGAAGTAGAGACCAGTCGCAATTGTAAATATTTGAAGGGCTGAAATAATTTGAGTCGAAGAGAATGTGTTCAATCGTGTTGGTTGCAAATTCAGGTGGGACGATTATTCAAGCTGGCCAACTAGGGGTGGAGCCGGATGGATATGTCAAATGCACAAGCATACTCAAACTGCATCACTGAGAGATCGTCATACTCGCCAGACAAGACAAAGCATGAAGTCACATCACATTTGCATGTACTTGTAGAATCATGCACGATCTTGTGATTGTGGCAGAGAATGCTTGCAATTTGATATCCTTTTATTTTTGATCTACCTCCATTTTCTCGTAAATATTTCAGCACCTGGCTCTTGGTTATTTCATTCTCAGCATTTTCTTTCGACTAATCCTTTCTTGCGATTCAATTTTCAATAAGAATCGGAGGCATCTGTTGACACACTTGTGTCGTCTGTTGGTAATGCTTTAGGTTACCGGCCAAATTTTGACTCTTTTCGGAGCACCGACTCCCCACTTGTAGTGAAAATCCGAATCCTGTTCTTTCTACTGGCTGATTGCGGAAGATTTTCGTGCTGGCTTCAGGTTGTTGGAGGCCTATCTTGCATTTCCGATTCTGGCTGCTTTTGTTGGACTCACCCGTTATGCCTGTGGTTGGAACGACACTCGCTGTCAGATGTCACTCGTCGACGGTGTTCGGTGCTGGTTGTTGTTGCTTTTGTGGGTTAGTTATCTTCGTCAATTTTGTTTTCTCTATTTTCACTTGAAATTCTGCCTTCTCTGCAAGTCGTCAAGTTTGTGAGACATTGGATATAAACCATCAGCGAAATTCAGATCTTCCAGAGACTTCTTGTCGCCTCAGCGTATTTCTGTCTCACCCTCCGCCAATCACAGTCTGACGCATAATCAAGTCCAACATTGATAAAAATATCATCGTTGAGCATAAACAGTTTTGTTTTGTCTTACTCCTGTAGTCGCTTCGAACGTCTCGCTGTGTTTCCCGTTGTGGATCACCTGACAAGTGCCGCTGTCATATGGTCAGCTGTTGAATGGGGTCGATAAAGAATCAGCCACTGGACGCTTGTGAGGAGATGACGCAGAGTTCAAGATACTTTCCGTCAACTTCGTCAAACGCCATTTCGAAGTCAATCAAATTTACGTTCGGATTCGACTGCCGAATAGAGTGACCTTCGCTGAACGCCTTTTCTTTTCTATTCTCCAAATTGTTTGATGACAACGCGTGCAGTTGCTTTGTGAGGAATTCCATCCGGTCACGTTGCTTCCGACTGCGACTGAATTTCGGTAACTTGATCGCATTCAAGGTTTCTACTTTCGTTGAAGAATTGATATCTATTGGTCGGCAGTTATAAGCGTGATGTTGGTGGTACCTCTGGGCGAGTTGCAGGTGATGGTCGACTCAAAAGTCCTTCACAGTGATCAGACCATTGTTTTATTTGCTTCATCTGCTTTATAATTGACTGCTTCTTTGCATCTTTTATTGGTTTCCTCACCTGTATTGATCTCTTTCCGGATAGAGACCTGGTTATGTGATATAGTCTCCTGAGGTCTGTTTAACCTGTGGTCTGCCTGTTCTGCTTCAGTTGACAGTGTGTCAGCGAATTGTCGTTTTCTTCCCTAGCACTCTGACAGGCGAAGTCCACGTTGCTCTGTGTATATCCTTGTGCTTGTACACACCACATCCGATCATCAAATCTCTGAAAGCGCAAAAGCCTGCGAATAATTCTGCGTTCTCATTCATTTCTCCGAGCTATTGTCTCTCGACCCATGATTGACTTCTCTTCCTGTATTATCTCTTTCTACCTAGACTGAAGTTAATATCGCCCATTGTGATTTCGACGTACACATTCAGGATGTTGTCCGTGACTATTTGTAGTTATCTATACAAATCCTCCTTCATCTCTTGTTCTGCAATAAGTGTAGCCTTGTGCGAAGCATTGGATAATTGTAAACTTCCTTTCTTCATTCCGAGTGGAACCTTGCTGTCACCATCCGACCGGAGGAGACTGTCCCTCACTGGCATACTGCTCTGTCACCTATTGGGTAAATTATGAATGTCGTTCTCTGCCTCAGTGTGTTTGTGGTTGTCGTCTGGTCACCGAGAAGACAAACGATTACTGACACTCCAGTCGATGGTGTTAAGGGACCGCATTCCTTCTACCTGATGAAGCAGATTCCAAGCACTTCTATGCCGTTTCTTCGCATTACTTCGACTACCTGAACAGCTTTTGCAAACTCGTACATCGGGCGTACATTTCACGTCCTCATTATAATTCCTGCTGTCATCAGGAGAAGAGAGATAGGCTGATTCACTTCCTGAAGGCTTCTAACAGCCAGACTCATTTCTCGTTACCGAATCCAGCGAATACAGAGCTTTTTTCAAATTTTTGTGTATTTTCACACATTGTTGGTGCAATGAGTATTGCCTAGAAGCTTGATAGCTTTGCGATTTAAAGTCGATAAACTCACCCCGAAATTACACTCTCCAGACAGGCTAGGTACAGGCTAGGAAACTAGCACAACATTAATACAGGTGAGGCTAGAAATCCTAGTCTGTCACTGCACACAAATACCCACATGTGATTCTCTTGACACTGACGATACTTTCTTACTCGCTTACAGATCGGTGGATGAAAATAAACGACAGCACCATGAGTAAGACAATATACGATTTTAAATAT